ACGAGGCAAACCTATTATCACACAAGTTAAAAGGTCTTGATCCTTTTCTAGATAAGAATTCTCTTTTAAGAGTTAGAGGAAGATTAAAAAAGTCAAACTTGTCCTTCAATCGTAAACATCAGTTGATTTTTGTCTCTAAGACATAAAGTTACCATATTGATTTTTGAATATTTTAATAAGAAGTGTCTACATACTGGAACACAAAGTTTATTGTATGAGGTGCGTTTGAAATATTGGCCCATTTACCGCGAAGATTTAGCTAGTAAAATAATTCATACTTGTGTTATTTGCTTTAAAAACAAGCCAACTGCAGAAAATCAGATCATAGGTTCTTCCAGGACTAAAGAGAAGGGCTAGCTCATAGAGCGTTTCCCCCTGAAACATGCAGTGAGGAGTGATGACGTAGCAATGATGCCACCGAGCGCGGAGATGCAATTGACAACATAGAAATTAGCGTTTTAAATTTGAAGAACCAGCGTTTAAAATGAGCTGTGTGTGAAAGATAGCTATAATTTGGAAGAGACAATGTTACTGCAGTATGCATTTTACACTGAACATTACAAAATTTAATAGTACTTACTCAATTTTTAAAATAATAGATAAAAGTGCGCTACTCTTAGCATAAAAGTTCCTTGTTTTTAATTTGCAGGGATTTTTTTTTCCTTTTAAATGCCTGTTTATTTCTAATCTTTTTCTTTATCTGCATGTTAACTAAGAGAACTGTACTACTGCTTCTAAGATAACTATAATAACAGCTATTTAAAGTTAATCAAAAAACAACCTTAAATTGGCATAGTTTTAAACATGTATGGTTATATATGGCAAAATTTCTGCTAATCTAAGTTTGAGTTTCAGCCTAATTGTAAATTTTACATTGGCATATTTTTATCCTGATTCAATATAACATATATTTTTTTAAATAATTTTGTAACTTAGGCTTACATCAATATTTCATTTAAATAAATACATGTAAGATTCTTATCTTAATTTAGACAAAACAACTTTACTCACAGTACCTAAAATAATTATTTAATTTTTCAAAAGTGGGGGTTAGGGGACAGGTCTTCTTATGCCAATTACTTTAATATCATACTTTATATATATTTTATCTAGAATGCTAAGCTAACACAAAATCGAATCAATAATAACAGAGGATATAATAAAAATAACTGTAACAATAACTTAACAGAATTAGTTCTCATTTGAAATATGCTTTAAGCTATTAACTTCTAAAATGCCATCTAGAAATATTTCAAATCAAAACATATATATGCTCACATGTACAGTCGCAATGCAACTACAAGTTGTTGAAACATTATTTATTGGCTGCCACATTCGAAGCAATCCATTTTTTTGCCTTTTGGGTTGCTTTTCTTTGGGAAAAAACATATGCATTTCTATTTAAGAAACGTATTCTAATAAAAGTTCTCACTCTGCAAAATAAACGAATTGCTTCTCTGTTAACTTCAGGATAATATTTCTCCAGTTTATTAATTAAAGAGCCAATTACATGCTTCCCTTTATAGTAAGTTGTACCATGAACTGCACAAAATATGTTTTCGAACTCATAAACTGTATTCATCCATGAATGAGGTGGGTGTAGTCAAACCTCCTAAGGACAATAATTTAATCCATTCTGAATTAAATATTGGTTCATCAGCACTATTTTTAGATATTGTTCCCAATGATGGGTCTTTGTCTCGCACACGATAGGCAATATAACCTGCAACATATGTTAATGCTTCTTTTTCGGCTGTCGAAAATTGTCTGTCGGAATTCAATTCTAATTCCCATGCCATAGGAGAAGGTTCCTCCATGAAATCTAAATCCAAATCATCAATAGTATTTAATGGAAAAGCATCTTCCTCCTCAGTTTTCAAAGCCTTTTCAAGTATTTCGGATGTTAAATATGGAATCAATATTTCTGCTTTCTTTAGTCATGCATACTTTTGAAGATAAATTTGGCAGCTTATTAGCGAGTATTAATTGCTTTAAGCGGCATATAACTTCACTAGGTGATGGATGGTCATTAAACCTACCAAGCCCTCGAATCTGACTAAAGAGACTTTCAAGTGCATCCTGAGTTAATCTAGAGGTTAAAATATATTTAGCATCATACGATGATTTCAAATCCTGGTGTAGGCCAAAAAGAGAATTTATTGAAATTATTATTCCTTTTGGGAAAGGCAGTAAGTTGGCTTTTCCCTGAACTCTTAATCCACCAATGACTTTCTTCATTAATTCCAAAACTTGAATTTGTTTTTCATGATGTTCATTTAATCCAAATGTTGCTTTAAGTATTTTATCTGAAGGAGGGTATGTTTTCGTACTATTCACAATATCGAAAAAATTGTCGATTAACTCAAAGAAGTCGGATGCTTTTTTATCTCCTGTGAGGTGGAGTATACTTTTTGCTGTAGTTCTTGAAAATAATGTTTTCGCTGGAGCGACTTTTTGTCTCTCGTTTCCCTTGACCATTAAATAATTTGGTTTTAGTTTGTGACACAATTTAATTTCTCCTGAATCTTTATTTAAAACCTCTTTAATAATATCAACATTTAAAACAGTTCCATCTTCTAAAACAAATCCTTTATCTAAAAAGTGGTTTCTCAGTAATTTGAGGCAGTGTGCTAAATCTGCAAAAACCCATATTTTTTTCGTTTGGAATACTGGATTTGGAAACTGAGAACTATTAATTGAAATCTGTAACTCTTTCAACAAAGTAGTAGATCCTCCTAAATCAGACACTATTGCTTTCACTTCTACTCCAGATGATTGAATATGTCTTATGAGTGAAAAAAATGTTCTTTCTTCATTGGAGTGTTAAAATAAAAAAATATTGGTTGTTTCCACTGCGAAATGAGACCTCTGATTAAAACAAACTGCACTTTTTTTGAAAAGGACCGAGAATTTGGTCCAGTTTAGAGTCATAGCAGAGTTTAGAATCTATGTGCATTTCGTCGAAACTGAGAACGCATATTTTTTCTACAGAATTCAAATATTGGCATCTTTCCTTCATTACAGCAATAACATCACTCTGAATTCCTGGACTACATGAAATTTAGCGCACCATCTCTTTAATGTGCTAGTGCTAGGTAAAGGAATTCCCATTTTTTCTTTCCAAAAATCGTAGCTTTTAGATGACAGAGCTCTTATGACAATGCAACGTGAAATATCTTCACTAGTCCACCTGATTTTTTCCTTCTTAAGCAATGCGTTAATCTGCGTCTTTATAAAAATATGCTTTAGACGTTTTTCCAAATTCTCCGATCTGTTCTGTTTTTTCTAAATTTCGCTGTTTGGGATTTTAATTTCTGAATTTCCGATACAAATTTCTTTCTAGATGTCGTCCACCTTCTTTGTCACTGAGCAAACATTCTAAAATTTTTCTTTTCTCTATTTTTCAATATTTTATTACAATTTTCTAAGGATATTATTTTGCTCTTCAAATTCTCAATACATTCTTGTTTATCTTTACACTTAGGGCACTCAGGGATATTGTCACATTGGCATTGTCACTTGTGAGTTTTATTTCAAAATCATTCACATTTGATTTATTATTGTTAGCTTCACTTTCGTTCTCGGCCTCAAAATAAATTTTCTTTGGGCTTAATTCGTGTAGTCTTTCAAAAGCACTCTGCATTAGTTTTCTTTTCAAATGTCTCCGATTTCTTTGTGTTATTTCGTTTACTGCACACGATAAATTTACTTTGCACAGCATTGCATTTCAACAGTTTCTTTTGCGGCAATCCAAGCAAGCGATTTCTCATGTCATCTTCATAATCACTGCACAGAAAATGTTCGCTGCAAATTCTTGCGTTTTTCACATTAATAGAATCTTGTCTTCGACATTTATGTATCCATTCTTTCGTCAAAAGCAAATTATCCTTTGGGAAAGAATGAAATACAATATCTCTTTCTTTCGTATTTCTATAAGTGTTACGGCACGTTGCTACAGCACAAGAAGCCATATTACATAAAGGATACTTTAAATATAGAATTTAAAAGGAAAACTGACTAAAACTATATATATATATATATATACACACAAATTATTTTAAATATTTGCATTATTAGAAAACAAATATGTATGATTAACATTAATTTGGGATATGCGATCTCCAGAAAATCGTCTCGCAAATGAATGAAACTACAGTTTTAAAGGCGCGAAATCAGAGCAGGTGCAACAGAGACACGTCAGATTACTTTGGTTCCCCCCCCTCCATGAGGCTCGCGTCGGCGAGGAGTCGAACAAAGGAATGACCTAGCCCTTCTATTTATCCCTGGGTTCTTCCCACTCAGCTTGTAACACCGATTTCGAGCACGTAATTATTGTTTTTGGAACACACACATTAGGTGTTTTATTTTTTAATGTACAGTTTAGTAGTCTCTATTAAAGAATTAAAATTTCTATTTTAAATTTCCAAAGTATGTTTTCTCTTGATATGCTATGTTTGCCCACTTACAAGAAATACCGAGAGTCTGGCAATCTTTCAGAAAAAAGTCGCGAAAATCGTAACCTGCACCCGATAAGCAACTTTTACCTTTCTATCTGTAAAAAATCGCCAAAGTGGTCGCATTAATACGGAAATAACAAATATATTCTTATATTTTTTTCATTAAGCACAAATTTCAAACTTTACTTAGAAATTAGTAATTTTTTTTATTCTTGTTATTTTTATTTGAAGAATTCGAGAGACCAGATACTGAAAATATTTGAAAATCTTTCAGAAGTCGGTTTCAAACTCGAAGAAATTCAGGATATTATCTACCTTTAGATTTTCCCAATGCAAATTAAAATTTATACATAACTGCAATATTGTTCTGCAAGATTTACGGTACATCATTGTAACGTCAATACATGTACGTTCATTTACAAAAATACTACTAAAGACAGCAATACTGCAAACAGAGGAAAGCAATCAGAAACAGGCAAAAATCAGGAGTCTTCGGTAAAAAATATGGGTTGTACTTGGCAGTAAAGTTGATATCAAACTTACCACACTGGAAGCGCCTGCGGGCACGTCCATAGTGATTCCGCTGTCTCGCATGTTATCGTCTTCATCAGCGTCGAGAGGTCGCGACCCGCTAGCTCGGGATATTAAGTTCCGGATGGCACGAGCGGGAGATGAAGATGATGAAGAGTTCCTGTGGATTGTGGGGTCGCTGTAGCTGACTCCGTCGGACATCACTCCACTGGGTAGGATAGCGCCATAGACAGCGGAGTCGTCTCGAGTACCCGTCGTCCCGTTCTGAGCGACAGCTGCTAAATCGCTGGTCGACACATTGGGATGGCTGGCGCAGAGACGCTTGTTGTGAAGGACGTTCTTCCTACGAAAGGAAAAAAAAAAAAAAAAAAACTTTTATGATACAAGCACTTCTGCACAGAGTTATCGAAAATGACCGATCTAACTTCAGCACATCCATAGCTCGTAACTGGTTAAAATATAAACATTCAAAAGCTGGTTGCCAAGGGCTCTGCCATTAAGACTAAAATAAAAAGTACAAAATTTGTTTTAAAATATCCATGAACAATATTTAACGTTCATTGAAATTTAAAAAACGGGAAAAAAAAATCCAACTGAAAAGGCCTAGAGACAAAATAACAAATTTCATGCAATACAAGAATAGCAGCGGAGGAAAAAAAAAAAAAACCTTTCTTCGAAGAAAGTTTTTTTTTTTTTTTTGGAGATGGAGGGGAGTCGTATGAATGGGAGGAGGATGAATAAGGATTTTGTATTAGGAATGAATTTTGATTTTTCTCTCATGGAGGGGAGTCGTATGAATAAGGATTTTGTATTAGGAATGAATTTTGATTTTTGCATTATGAATAAGGATTTTGTATTTTGTCTTGTTAAAATTATTATGGGCTTAGTTTTCAATTAAATTCAGATTGTTTGGACACTAAAAATATTATTAAAATCTACTTCAATTACTATTAAAATTATTATTTATGAGGAAAAAGGCGTCAGAATTACCAAGATGATTAACTATTTTTTGTTCTAGTCCTTCGTAGCCATTAAAATGCTTATCGTCAGAAATCTTATCTCAAGCGCTGTTGTATTGATCTCTCCTTTTTTGGAGACATTTAAATTTGTGTCAGATTTAAACGTAATACCTGGAATTTTCATTTATTATTGTCTCCGTCAGAACTTCACTAATAGTTCGACCTAGGACAACATCCCCTAGAACTTACGGTATGTATCCAGGGGGTGCTGCCTAGGTTCGATTTAAGTCGAAAGGGCCCATATCATGAGCATTTTTCGTGGTTTTCCGATATGTAACGAAGATGCGAAACATTTTCTCTTTAGAAAGTCCTCCTCTTAGGCAGATAGAGTAGCTCTAGCGTGCTTTGCCATAATCCAACAAATAAAGCCACCAAACTTCCAGAACAAATAATCTTAAAACTTTACTTTTATTTTGTTAATCATTTGATACTTGAATTACCAATAACCACTGCTAAATTTCTTCAGGTGAACAAAATGTTATTCATATTATTAATATTCAGTATTTTGTTTGTATGGTTTATGATAATTAACCCATTTCCTTATAATTTAAAACTGTTCTCTCACTTCTTTCGTTGGCCCTCGCTAAAATGCAGATAGGTAAGCGTACTTAAAGCGGAATTTTTGGAAATTTTAGAGACAGGCTCAGGTTGAAACACGGCCAGCATCCAATCTAGGCATATTGCCGAGAATTCCCAGCTGCTAAACTTCCGACCTGGATGAAATTCTGAGGGAGAATACCTCTGGGACAGAGGGTTGCCTAATCCTGTTCCCTTACCAACATCCTCTCCACAGAATGACGGCTCGCCGTATATTTTGAGGACCCTCTTGCCGCACAGACAATATACGCTTACAAACATCCATGCTTTCTCCGAGATTCGAATCCCGGCCTTCGCTGTGGCAGTTAGCGTCACTAGCACTATTCCGTCCAGGCGGCGAGTTTTAGAGACATAGATTTTGGCAATGCTCGCTCTCGCCCAGCTCTTCCATATTCATATTCAGGCATTAGTTTATTTTGCTAGCCGAAGTTAAATCGCTCAGTTAAAAGCTTGAGCCAAGGCTTAATTAGGCCAGCTATTGCAGAATCAAGCTACGAATTCGCTTCAATTTGTAAATTCATTTTTCTGTCACTTAATGCCAGCAACTGGCGGAGTTTGATTTGTAAGCACAAAGTGGGCCACAATCAAGTTCAAGTTTTAAACAGAAATGTTCTTTTAAAACCTTCTTGGGACTCTACACAGAGGGAGCGATAAGTCGCTTTTGAGCCCAGTAAGATTTTAAGGACTAAGTTAGATTTACGAAGGATAGTGTTGTACATGTTCTCCCTAGCACGAAATTGGTTGTCATGAATCATTTCTTTATTTAATCGTAAATTTAAAACTTATAAAAACATAAAACAACTATTAACCAAACGATCCTTTTCAACGAAACAATTTGGTGTCTTTCTTAGCACTGTTACTTAATCAGAAGTTCCTAAAAATTGCAACGATTTCATTTTTAATGTAAAAATATTTCCGCACATACTACTTAAAGGTGTTTTTAAAGATGAAGTGCTCAAAAGTAAATGCATGTAGTTTTCGTAAGAAAAATTTTACTACATTAACTCTTTGTTGCATACAAATAAGCTAGAGAAGTTAAACGAAAATGCTTGTATTTTTTATACTTAAAATAACCTTAGTAATAATAAAAAATAATTTTATTCATATTTCGTTTTAAATAATTGCTACAGTTTGTTCACTACAGTGGACAGCATGCATATACGTACATGCATACAAATCTCTTCCCAACGATTTACGGTCATTGCATTTGAAATCATTTCCTGCCTTGTTTGCAGTGATCATTACCATCTTCTAAATGGTAAATCTACAACTGACATGTACATATAGATCTCCCAAAATACCTTCATTTCGTCGATTGTAAATGAATTCATTTTGCTACGATTTTGTAACCTGTACCTATTGGATTCAAATGTCAAATGTTCTAGAAATTCCTTGCCAAACAAAAATTTCCAGTGGTATTTTGGCTTAATAAGCAGTACATTTGGATTTCAATTCACTCTTTTTCGGTAGATCTTTATCTACCCACTTCACAATTTTCTCAAACTGACATTTAAAATAAAATGTCTAAAATTACTAATTATGAATAAAAAATGGCAGTATAAGAAAATGCAAGCAATATTATATAATGTTTATTATAAGAAGCCCACCAACGGCCAAGCGATAAAATCGCTGAACACTGGTAGTTCGGTCTGAGGTTCGAATCCCGCGAACGGGCTGGCTGCACCGGTGTTTTCGTGGTTTTCCCCATGTGTAACGTGCATACGAGCGAGTTTCTCTTAGAAAGTCCTCCACGAAGGCATCCCTCCCCTTTGGCAGATAGCCCTCGAGGGCTTTGAAGTAATTAAATAACCTAGCCTAACCTTACTATGAGAAATTGTACTAACTTGGAAACAGAAGTAGCAGCCATTTTCCAAATAACAATGCTTTAATTAGTGATGCTACACAGCCACCTATGATCGACAGTTGAAAAGTTCTAACAACATAGAACGAATAAACACAGGAATAGAATCTGCATTTACAGAAGAATAAACAAATTTAAACTTTTTGTCTACTAGAGTGGACATGATGCAACAAAGGGTTAAAAAACAAAGACAAAACAGAAAATCTATATGAAACCTAGGATGTTGAGAAATTGAAAGTCACATTTTCGAAATTTAGCTTTAGAAAGGCTAATTAGGGCACCCTGCGTAAAAGGTGGAGTGTTTTAAAAAGATAAATAAAAATTTCGTGACCTACTTTGTGCAAGATATGGAGAAAGGTGGAAAAACGTATCCTTATTGCATCTAAAATTGACCGCAGCGACTATCGCAAGTGATGAAAACCACGTAAGTTGCAACTGTACATCGAGCAGGACGTGGGCATCTGTATGTATTTTTTAAGCAGTCATGGCAACCGCATATTGACCGACAATGCATAAAAAATAGCAATGTTACGAAGTTCCGTTAAAGTAAAATTGCCTAAGAAATACAAAAACGGTGAAAATGAATGTGTACTTAATTATTTGCATGATCTTAAAGCTTTATATTTAATATGGATAACAGCGAACAGAAAAGAGAGATAACTTTAAGGCAGCGGAAATTTTTAAGATATCGCATCAGAAATATCAGAACAATCAACTTCGTTAACATAAAGAATATAATATGAATGTTAATAGCCCTTTATGTAAAAATATATAGGTAGATCCAGTCAAGTTAAACTTTCAAAAATTGTGAAAATTCCAAAATGGATATTAATGGCAAATTGTTTTAACGAATGAAAGATAACCTTATAATATAAAAAGGAATATACCTTCCGAAATTTCAGAGAACCGTTTGTTTGGGGCAAGATGAAGACATGTTTTCCCCGAACAAAACGAATTTTTCTAACACAGCATTATTTCGCAGCGCATTCTTACGGAAAAGGTGAAGAAGCATTTAAAACGACTTTTCCAAATATTCGTGAACCTAGCAAGACAATGATTTTCTACATGTTAACCTGGTTTTGGTAAATTGGAAGCACCGTAAGAAATAAAATGGCTGCCCGTCTCTTTCGAGTTCTGATAAACTGGAAGTCGTCAGAAGTAAAAATATTGCAATGACCAACAAAGAGTGCGAGAGAAATATGGATCTCAATCAGATTTATAAATGCCCAAAAAATTTCTCACTCAGTCCTTTTTTTTAAACAATTGATCATAGACATAAATTTTCGGCTACGAAACTATTTTAAATGACGCGAATATTCATGCTTTATTATTTTTAAATTAAAAAAAATAATTTGCAAAAGTTATGAAATAGAACTTTTTATACGTTCGCCCAGTCTTTATATTAAGGAAAAAATAAAATTTAGAAAATATATGCATTCGATAAAAAATTTATCAAGATATTTTTAAACTGCAAATCATATTCAGAGGCCGCATACAAAATGAACAGCAAAATGTTTGCATTTGTATGTAACTAAAAATTAAATTTGAGTTAAGAAAATGGTTTTTGATGGTAACAGATTAAGTGAAGAGCATTTTAATGCAGGCGAAAAATATTAACCAACATAAATTTTTCTCCCAAAGAAATCTTTTTTGAAGAAGCTTACACAATTAGCTTTCTAGAAAAAACAAACAGGCTTCAGCAATGGTACATAGCAAACTCGTAACATTACCTTCCATAAATTAAAAATAATCGTTACGCTTGTACTATTCATTCCTTAAACATTCAGCACCTTGATTAAGACATCAGCGCCTATTGCGAATCGTTTAGTAATTAATTTTTAAAATTTTCACACTCAAGATTTTTGA